TCAAGAAAACAAGACCAGCCATCAGGAACATAAGACCAGTCACCAGGATAAAATTCAGGTTAACAACAAGAGGAAACTTCCTACTAGTACAACTACTACTACTACCCAGACGGAGAAGAAACAGGCACTGAAACTCCAGAAGAAAAAGTAATTATGTACATTTTTTACTTTAAATAAATCATCTTAAAAACTTTCTGTGTTATTGTTTTTTTCGGTTTTCAGAAAATAGAGAGAGAAGCTGGCTGGCTGTATGAATGACACATGACGTCACAATGCATAGTTAGCTGTGATTTGAATCGCTGCCAAGTTTATGTATTCATAGTATCTGGGTTTTTCCAGGTGAGTGCTGAGCACGTGCAGGTTTTTCCAGATCTCACATCTCACATCTCAGGAATTTCCAGATCTCAGAAAGTGCTGAGCGCGTGTGGGTTTTTCCAGATCTCTGACCTTGACCTCGGGGGTGCACTGAGTTGACCCCCATCCCCCCAGAGGCCCAAAAGTGCACTCAGTTGACCCCCCCATCCCCCCAGGGCCCAAAAGTGCACTCAGTTGACCCCCCTATCTAGACGCCTTATACTACTGTTGATTGTGGGGCAGCCCTGTGGTAGCCCCAGCAAATTGATCACCGCGGCCAGAAGCGCCAAATTAAACAAGCAAAATAATATCTGTTGTTTGTTTGATTAATAGGGAATCTGCAATAATATTTTTTTAAAACCAATATTTCTCTGTAAGTGCTTGAAAACGTCGGCATTAATGATAATCTTTTTTTAAGGAAAATAATTATGTAATAACTCTGAACCGATTTTATTTTTCTTACATCACTCAGTCAAAATATGCAAGATTATTGGCCATTACACTTAAAGTTCATTGACCCTCAGATAAGAGAAATAACTCACTAGGATGACTTTGGTTCCCTTATAACTTTGTCAAATGAAGCTAGGTCACTTCTGTCAAAGATTTTCTCCACAAGCTAGGTATTTGTAATTTCTATTTTAATCAAAAAATTAGATTTCTTTCTGAAAATCAATAATTACCAATATTAAAACAAAAAGTAAATTTGGAAACATAGGGATTCATTTGATGAGCCTTAATTCCACCACAGAAGAAACTACAAAGCAGTACCTTGTCTCAACATTCATTTGTGAAAAGCAAATACATGAACAAGAATCAGATCATACCAAATAATATAATAATTTTGCACTTGTCAAAGCTAAAAAGTAAATATCATAGATATTTTTGAGATAGATCTTAACATAGTGCAAAATACTGATGTAACATTGAATGTTAAAAAAAAAACAACCCAAAAAATATATATTTATTTTAACAAGCAAAATCTTTTTTTTTTTTTAGGATTCTCAGACTTCTTAATAAAATACTATAGAATCATTGAAGTCCTAACCTTATATTCATCAAGTTACTATAAGAACACGAGTAATGAATTGAAAATAAAATATAAAATAAGGCCATGAAATAATGATTAATTTAAAAAACCATCAAACTTTCGTAAAAATTATGATATAAACTGTGTAATTAAACACAAAGAAGATGGTCGAACAAGGTGAGCGCAATGCCTATAGTGCGAAAAACATGCAGGTGAAAAATTAAGTCTCAATTATGAAAAAATTTTCTTCGATATTTCATCTAAAATTAAAGTGTACTATATGTAAAATCTCCACAATTTGCAAAAAATCTCACAAAGATTGAAATTATTTGCCTATGAAATATACACGCACTGAAGAAAGCGAAAAAGATAATTATCTCGTATTTTGGATTTCCAACGTTTCGGCTTGACAATCACTGAAGAGACATAATTTGTCGAAATGCGCATCTGGTTCATCAAAATTGGTACCGTATATGATTTTAAAAAAAGACTCATAACATAATACAATTTTTTGATATGAGTGGGTCTTCGCCTCATATTTTTGAAAGTTTATCCTCAAAGTCTACGTAAAATATACATTTTTGATTAACAAAAACATAGAGCAAAGATCCACTATACCTTAAAAAATACACTTTTATGACAAAACATCCGCATCTTTCCGAGAAATACTTGAAGTCCATTTAGTCAAGGGTCATACCACGAACATGATTTAAATGCCACCATTCATCAAGAGCTGTGTAGCCTAATGGTTAACGTGTTAGAAATAAAAGATAAGAAAAAGCGTATTAGTCTAAAAGGAAAATGATACTTAGGATTTTTAGTGCAAGGGTTCGAACCCCCACGAATACCACATTGTTTTTTTAAATATCAGAATAATTTTTCTCGAGAAAATTTTCCTCAGAAAAATTTTATTATTTCATAAATTTAAATAATGAGAACTTTAAAAATTGATCATGATTTTTATATGTCTGAAGCTATAGGCATTCTGCACGCCTTATTCACCCATCTCCTTAGGGTAGAGTTTTTACATTTAATGTCATTCAGTACTAGACTCATGACAATTTCTCACTCGATAATTGATCGCCAGAACAGACCGAGGGAACTTCCGATTATTATGTATGCAACTTTTTTTCTCTTATTTTAAAGAAATAGGTCGTTGACGATGTTACTGTCAAAACAATGTAATTTTCTCTTGATATGATGAGAAACCATTGAAAACGTTAAGCTGCAAAGATTTTTAAATCCTGCGACTGCTTTTATGGAACAATATGTAAGTCAATGTTTTATTTTCAGTTAATACCTGTGGTGCAGTGGTTAGTTTGCTGCAGATTTGCGGAGCAAGGAGTTGATCCTTACGTCGCGGGTTTGAATCGTACTGCGGGACGTAAAGACCGGTCCTTCGGATGGGACTGTATAAACCGAGGTCCCGTGTCGCAGCAGGTGCTGGCACGAAAAAGATCCCTCACTTGTCAAAGGCCTTAAGTTCCGAGTACAGGTCTTAATTTGCAGCTCTCCAACGGCAAGTGATAGCGCCTCAGTCTCAATATGAGTGAAAAATTCTCTAAAGGGAGTTAAACAAACACTTAACCCCTACCTTATGAGATCTCTAGAACAAAAAAAAAAAGAACGATTATTAAGCTAACATCTATACTACAATATTAAAATAATAGACTCGAATTTTTGGCCTTTAATACCGATAAATCGGAAGAGTACCGTCTTTTATTTGATATATTTTAAACATCATTGGTACTTGAAGATTACCAATTTGTTTTTATTTTTTCTCAATTAAGCTTCGCTAATTAATAATCAACGAAAATTCTTCAAAAAATTCCGGAAATCATCTGGATTTTTTGGATTTTACAATCTTGCGCGTGCGCATTACATTCACGCTAAATCACGGTGTTCAAATCAATCTCCCTTGCAGAGTTGTCGTTCGTTTCTCTCTTATACACGAATGTATGAGCCGTTAGTCGAGAGTGTGTTCAAATCAGAGAAGACAAAAGTATATACTAAGTAGATATATATTTGTTATTGTATAATTTCTCTAATAAGAAATCATTAATGTATATGAACAGAATATATAGCAAATTTCCAATGAAAATTTACACGTATTTGTCATAGGCGTCGGAACCAGGGGGGGAGGGGGCTAGGGGGGCTTAGCCCCCCCCCCCCACTTTTTTTTGCAAAGATAGGCATAATATAGGCATTGAAAACTGGGGCTTACCTTTTTTCGTTGGTTTAGCCCCCCCCCCCACACACACACACACACTTTCGAATAGCCACCCCACTTTCAATTTGCTTCTGACGTCTATATGTTTGTATTATCGTAATCGTTTCTGAGTTTATATCCATACAAATGTGATATTGTGGCCAAGTGGGTAATCATTCGCCATCTCGGAGACACATTTATTATATGTTATTTATATCTCTGGCCATCTCAGCGGAGGCAAAAAGTTCATGATCGTAGGAGCAACATTAATGTAACTACCCGATTTATTTTATCCCTCCTTTCTTTTATGCTTTTTTGAGGGGAACTGAAGGGGGGGGTGTTACAACTCCAGTTAGAATCACATCTTAGTGAAGTAGGCATTCTTTTTCCGCCAAAACTTACAATAACTACTATATAAAAATTATAGACTCGAATTTTTGGCCTTTAATACCGATAAATCGGAAGAATACTGTCTTTTGTTTTATGTATTTTAAACATCATTGGTACTTGAAGATTACCAATTTGTTTTTATTTTTTCTCAATTAAGCTTCTATTTTTATTACTTTTTCTATGTACTAATTCAAGGATATTACATTAATTTTTATCAAAACAGACAGTCTTTTACAGATTATATACCTGTCTATTACCTGTGTATATATAAAGTATATGTATTAGCAGTGCTTAACTCTTTTATTGTTGAGGTCATATTTTGAAAAAGTTGAGACCTGCAGTGTTAAAATTGTTACAAAAATTTTTACACCTTTACTTTAATAACTGATTGTGTAAAAATACCAGCTTAGCACAATTTTCCATTTTCATTACTTTGCTTGATATGTATCAGCAGTGTGCTCAACTCTTTGCTGTTGTCATATTTTCAATGAACATCGATCCATAATTTCTTTTATTAAATTTGTTTGGAAAGGTGAAATTCATGTAAGCTCCGGCGTGATTCGAACTCAAGACTTGATTTATAGCTAACTGGTGGTCAAACCCATTCTGCGCTACGCCGTTACGCAACAATTTAAAAACAAAAACAAAACAAAACAAACACACACACAAAAAAACAGAATTATATTAACATTCATTGTTTATTTCAAAAATACCTTACAATATGAATGTGTCGATGTATCTATTTTGTAAATGTCCGATATGCACATGGATGCATTCATAACAATGTCAACCCGTGCACACACGGGTCAAAATCTAGCAATAATTATACAAAAATGTAGTCTTATTCAAACAGTCAAGAAAAGGATTCATTATTGGATTAAACGTTCTTTTTTCAGAATTTATCGATGTGTAAACTCATGCCTTTGTACTCACAAACTGAATAAAAGTGCGAAGCACTTTTATGTAAAGTTTGTGAGTACAAAGGCATGAGTTTACACATCGACAAATTCTGAAAAAAAAAGAACGTTTAATTCTTATAATTCCAATAACGAAGTTTTAAAATTATTTCTCTTTGAAGCCTCCATACAATCTGTTATTTCTGTACAGCGTAGGAATACTTTATGCCGCGATGTGGAAATGAATTGCAATCGAGATGAACGTCGATAAAGTTCAACTTTAATTGTCAAAACATTTATAAAATAAGCTTATAAAAACTCTTCGAATATTGTTTAAGTCAACAAATATCGTAAATACAAGTAGACTTCAAAAGAATTCGTCCTTGACCATGTTGACAATATAACGACAGACGCTCTGAAACGAAAGTAGCAGACCGACGACAACCTTGATTTGCTCTGGTTTGTTCAAAGACGGGACAGAATATAGGATGTAGAAAAATGAATTTGATGCTAATAAGGCAAGAGTCTAAGGTACGTAACGGTTTCTCTTTCCTATCACAGCGCCATCGAAAACTGAGCTGATTTGTTTTGTAGGCCTGTTAGGAACGTCGAGAATATGACTTCAGAGATTTAAAATTCACACTCGTGATCTGACAGTGACATAAACATAATATTCCCATCTGTCAGTCCTGTATTTCGTCAGTTTTGTTTTTATTTAATTTGAAGTTTCTGTAATTGTTTAGCTAAAACACAGAACAGAAGTAACGCTTTGTTTCATTTTTTTTTACAATAAAAGCCAGGCTGGGTCAAGAAAGTAGCTCTGATTGAGAATTTATCGATGTGTAAACTCTTTCTTGAATTTGTTCTCGTCCAATCAAAACACAGGAAATCAATAAATAAAATTAAGATTGGAATTATTTACATTTACATGAAGAGAAATGGTTACTTAAAGAGGCACTCTTGACGCAAAATTGGAAAATTGAAGAAAAAAAAGAGAGAGAGAATTTGTCATGGCCCATGCAAATTCTGTTCATTTAGAATAAGAACAATTTACATTATAGGGTCTATGAAATTACAGGTTTTAGAATCTAAAATCATCCACTTTATGAACAGTAATATAATTATTGTCTGGACCAAAATGAAAACAATGGAGTCATTCCTTCCTCCTCATTGCGCAGAAAACACGAACAAGTTATCATGGTCTCAAGTCCAAGGAAATAGAATGTAGGTAGACCGAGTAGTTTTTTAGAATCTCGAAAAAGATATCAGAACATATATGCTCCAATGCAGTGTTATTTTCGAGTTTTACGCTATGAATAGTCAAGTGACGTTGACATAGACGATAACAACGGTACGATAGATACAATCTTCTCTCCGGCACTTATATTTTGCACTGTTTGCTTCCTTTGCACTGCAGTTGAGCTTCTCAAAACTTCGCTTTGCTCATATGTTTAATATCTCTTTCGATTCATGACACAAATACCATAAAATGAAAGACTATGTCTCTTCAAGGACATCAGTATTATTAAGTCCAACCCCTTTTACCATGTCTAATGCAGAGACACCATATTTATCAGGAAGCTCGGGATCAGCACCTTTACTTAATAAATACTTGTAGATTTCCATGTGGCCATTTTTCGCAGCACAATGAATTGGTGTCCATTTCTTTTTATTTGAGACGTTAATATCGCTTCCATTTTCACATAATAATTTCACTATATCAGTGTGACCATTTGCAGCTGCCCAGTGGAGGGGTGTTTCCCCATATTTATCTTGCATATTGACGTCAGCTTTCTTACGAATTAGGCATTTTGCAACGTTTACATGGTTTCTTTTAGAAGCTCGAAACAAGGCAGATTGATTCTTTATGTTCCTGGAATTTACATCGGCCCCATTCTCCACAAGAAACTTTACAATTTCAAAAAAGCCACGTTTTGCTGCACAATATAGCGGTGTTTTACCACGGTCAGCCACTTGGTTAACAAACGCACTATAACTAACTAGACTTTTAACAATATTCAAGTACCCCCCTTGAGAAGCCCAGTATAAAGCTGTCTGCTGCAGCTCACAGGATATATTAACGTCTGCTTTGGCTTCTAACAATAAGCATACAACTTCAAAATGTCCTCGTTTTGCTGCCCAGTAAAGTGGCGACTCACTTTGTTTGTTGGAAAGGTTAACATCCGCTCCTTTCGCTAAAAGTAATTGAACAACTTGCACGTGATTCCTCTTTGATGCACGAAATAATGCAGATTTGGAGTTTGTAGTGCTTGTGTTAACAACGGCACCACTACTAATAAGATATTCCACCATTTTTGTATGTCCTCGCTTTGAAGCACAATATAACGGAGATTTATTATCTTTATCCTTCAGATTTACGTCGGCTCCTCTTTCTTTCAGACAGATGGCTATATCTAATCTGCCCTTCTGTGCTGCCCAGTATAGAGCAGTTTTCCCACCGTCAGTCTGACTGTTAACAAAAGCATTGTTTTCCAATAGCAACCTCACTATAGTTTGATGGCCTTTCTTAGATGCCCAGTACAAAGAAGAATACCCTTTTCTGTCAGTTTTATTCACATTAGCCAAGTTATCTATCAAAAATTTACATATTTCATAATATCCTCTTTTTGATGCTCTGTAAAGCGCTGTTCTGTTCTTTGTGGTTGGCTTATTTACGTCAGCTTTTTTTCCGACAAGCAGCTCAACTATTTCTAGATATCCCCGCTTAGCCGCGCAATATAGTGGAGACTTTTCCTTTTTGTCACTTTGATCACATTCTGCGCCACGGTCTAGTAAGTAACGTGCTATATCTAAATAGCCCTTTTGAGCAACCCAGTACAATGGAGACTTTCCATCTTCGTCAGTTTTGTTTACTTCAGCACGGCGTTCAACTAATAGCTTCACTATGTCTAAAGAACCTTGTTTTGCTGCATAATAGAGAGCAGTTTTCTTCTTTATATTGCCTGTGTTGACTTTTACATTGTTTTGTAGAAGAAACTCAACAGTTTCGACATTTGTGCTCATTACTGCAGCGATGAGTGGGGATTTTGACGACGTACAATTCAGAGAAGCGGCTTTGTCAATTAAATATTCAACGTCAGAAGAAACCCCGAATCGGCACGCCAAAACTAACGGTGTACTTTCGTTTTCGTCTTTCTTATTGACATCAACACCCCTTTCGACAAGTTTCTTAATTGCGCTAGAAAACCCCATATAGCAAGAAGCCGTTAGTGGGGTAAACTTTTTATGCATGTTTAAGCATTCTGTACCTTCATCTTCGATTTCAGTACAGGAGAAACAAGTATTATTGATGTTTTCAATATTAATGCTTTTAAGGATGATCTCAAAACATTTGAAGTCTTTACTGAAGATTGCAAGAAGCAACAATCTTATTTGCTCGACATTGTCCCTTGAAGGCTTATGTCCTATCCAATATTTGCTGTTTTCCGCTTTATTGTCTATCTCTTCAAAAAGACCCCCTTTCCCGTATCCAATCACCCAGCTCACGGCTTTAGCATTTCCTTCGTAAAAAATTTTGTCCTCGCTAACATTTTCTGTTCGATCTTCCAAAAGTTTCTCACGAAACCATTCATAATCATTACTTTTCAAAGACACATAATACTTTGCTTTTTTGGCGGATCTTTCGATTCGATAATCACGGCGATTTATATGCCGCGGGGAAAGAAACATTGTCTCAAAATCAGACAGTACCATGTCTTGAATAGAACTGCAAAACATTTCACAGAAAGATTTATCTTCCCAACAGTTATTTGTAAATACTTCTAGATATTTCATGTTTCTAATGTCAGCGAAAATTCTTTCCTTCAGACTCTCTCTTTTCACTGAAAAGCAAAGCTTCTCCTCAAGGTATAAATTCTCCAACCCATCATTTATCAAACATTTCTCTGCTATATAATTACACCCCATACCTTTAAGCAAGTCATTTGGGTGATCTTTTCCATAATGGAAAGCAAGCATTTCGAAGACATGATTATGCTTAAAGATAAAATCTTCCCCATGTCTAAGAAACCAAAGCCTTTCCTGGACCAGTCGTTCACATTCTTTACCAACATCTTTGATAGAAAACCCTTCTTTACAATATTCTTGGCATGAGTCCGATACGATTGTTAGTTTTTCCGGATTATTTTTTGGATCGTCAAAAGGATAAAAACAGGAGCCTTGTAAAACACAATATATAAGAAACAAATAGGAAACTGGTCTTTCTTCTCGCAAAGAATCAAGGTACTTGAGGAATATTTTTTTGTGATTTTCAAAGAATTCCAATGAATGAACTCGTAGTTCCTTGAAATCAGACAAAAGTGTACAAAGAAGGGGGAAAGACTGACTTTTGCAACATGCAAGTTTGTCTACATCTGCCACCTGGCAACGGTTGCATAAATGCTGAAGGAAACCAGTTTTCTCAGGAATGTTCAGGCTCATTGAAATATCAGAGAAATCTATAATTTTTGCAACGTGCGAAAAATTGAATTTCTGCATTTTCTCGTAGACTAGTGTTCTGCAGGTCATGATAAGTTTTGAATGTTTCGATTTAAGCAATATTTTGATATCTCTATAATTTTCTAAATCATACGTAAATGAGATATCAAAGCCAAACAGTCCAAACACATTGTCCAAAAGAAATACAACTTTTGAGTCAACACCCAAATCCAATCTTATATCTTTGAAAGTGGAAATTTCCCGTGTCACATAGTCATCTTTGCCCAGGTAAAAAGCAACGTGTTTCATTGTTGCCGTTTTTCCACACCCAGAATCACCAATGATTAGAACACAGTTATTCTTTTCCACGGCCGCTTTTACGGCCTCAAATTGTCTTGTTTCTTTATAAAAGAGCGAGTATCCTTTTGCAGGACTACAAACTAAAATAAAAAAAAAAGAGTCTGTATTTTGTTTCAGTTAAACAGTCATTCAAGATTATCTTCGAAGAAGTTGAAAATCGACCCACGTCATTTTTTCATCTGAAAAACATGCAATACAAATTGTAATGATCGCAAATCTGTCCTTCGAAATGTTTGGGAGGTGCCATATGTTCACAAAAAGGTATTCAGAAATAAACTTTCCTTCTTTCACTTAAAAAATGGATTGAGCTTGAAATACTTATAGTTTTGACGATGCATCTCTGTAACTGAACATTGCCCATGTATAATTTCTTTTTGCAATTTATATTCATTTTGTAAGGCATATAAAATGGATTATCAAATTAACTTTATTACTGTAATATACGAATTCATCATCGAACTCTTACGCCAATGTATGTAGCCGTCTGAAACACATTTGCCAGTGCGCAAACAAAACATAATATTTTCTTGCCAATTCCTGTGCCCCTAATTTTCAAAATACAATGTCTCTAAATCACTTGATATATTTTGGCAAAACACACACAAAAAAAATATAGATATGTACAATATTCTTATCAAGAAAAACAGAATATAGGACACTGGCAAAGTGGAAAAAACAATGGGGTATTTTTGGGGGATACAGAATGCAGCAAGTTTCGAAGGCTATAGATTCAGAATTTGCATAGAATTGTCTGAAAAAATGAATACTTCTTTAAACTTATTAATAAGATATAATCGATTCAAAGGCATGATCCTTTTGCACACAAGATATAGAAAAGATTTGGGTTTAAAGATAGACAATAACAGATATTAAATGTGATTACCACTTGTTGTCAATGAACATGTCGTTTCTGATGCAGTGCATGTTCCAGATTCCTTAATTTCAATGCGTTCATTGTCGGATTCGTCATGACCTTTAAAAAATGAAAATGAAAATTAAATCGTTGAGATGCATTTTAAATATAAGGAAAGGTTGGGAAAGTTAAATACCAAAAAAAGTTTTTCTTTTAAGACCTGAATCAACTGATTTTTTTAATTGAGGGCAAAAGTACATACACGTATCTTCGTTTGACTCCAAAAGGGACTTTCTTAAATGTTTGGATTCTAAAAATGTATAGAAAAAGCATTGCAAGGGAATGTTCAAACATAATGTCAACCCATAAATCAAATTCACTAAGTATTTACAGTTTTTAGTTTGAAACAAACCTTTATTTTTTCTAGAATTTTTGTTCTTTCGTCGATGGAAGAAAAATAACAACAGAAGAATTATGAGGATGAAACAGGTTATTCCGATCATAACACCGCCTACCCAGGCTGCATCTTGGCTTTTATTGCTGGTTGTAGGTAGTAGAGTTAAATTTGGTTGAACAGCCGAGAAATTTGATCTATACAAAATATGCATACTCTGAATTTGTGGAAGCTAAACTGTTATTACTATCGTTAATGTACATGTTCCTCAAAATTATAGATTGTATAAAATCCATAGGGTTTTTTTATATGAAGGCCGTGAGAGTTTTCCTTTGTTTTAATATGTAGGGTGTTTTAGTGAAACAATTATAAATACGTTTTATTTGGACACTTTCGTTCGGCAAAATAACACCTATCATCAATATTGATTTGCAGACACGCTGGATCTACAATACAAACAAATCTTTATTATTAATATCACAAAGATTAACAGTAAAGCGTTACATGTTCTGAATTCTAGAAATACTCTCTTTACCTCATCATTGACATGATTTTAACTTACGTGTATATATCAGATCACTGAAATAGGGCTTCTCTGGGCAGGCTTCAGCTTTAAACATGTTGCAATTGTACTGGTTTAGTGTTCCAGACCCGGCTAGTTCTATGCAGTTTCCTTTAACATAAGATTGATGATTAACTAAGTAGGTCATGACTTTCTCGGGCTATGGCCAATCCAGCCCCACATATGGGACTAACTTTGGAAACGCGTGATATGAAGAACTGCGAACGATAGCATTGTTCTCCCGCCTACCTCCAGGTCGATTTTCAAAAGCTAACATATTTTGATGATTTTTCATATTTATATAAATATTTATGTGAATTTTCATACAACATTACTTCTTTGGGAAAACAAAGAGAGGTAACTCTATAATTTGGGTAAAACTTGTGCTTTTCACAATAGAAATCAACGGAAAACGGAAAATATTTTTAAAACATCTTTCCCCCCCCGTGAAACAAAAATTCCTTTTTACACGTAATATGGACTGTCATTTTACAAATTCATACCAAAGCTTTTTGTGTTTCATGGGGGGGAACGTATGTTTACAGACAAAAAACTACAAAAATGCTTATTTTTTCACCAATTTCAAAGGGTTTTACAACTGAAATATTGTATTTTTTAAATAATATATGTTTAATTTTATATGTGTAAAACATAAGAAAAGATTTTAGGAACATTTATTCATATCCAAGAATATTTTAAAATGTGTTTATGCTTTAAAGCCCGATTTCAATGGAAAACATCGTCTACCCCCCTTATTTTAAGAGTTGGAATTAGGAATAATTAACTGTTTAACACTGGCATTAAAATTATCAGTCAATTACCATTGAACTGTTCTTTGCATTCAACAAAGATTTTACGGTCAAATTGTCATAAGTATTGAATTATATGGGTATAAAATGTAGGCGGGAATCGAAAGTTAGCGTGCGTAGTTCTTTGCAAATTGGTGTCTATTAACATGAAGTTCACATGTTTAATGTATGACTAACTTATTCCAACCCTTTTACCTGGACTATGGACCCAGATATCATGGATTTCACACATTTAGTAGAGTGCTTTGTGTTCACTATAATCATGCAAAAGGTTTTCCTGTTTTTTTTCCCAGAGTTTTGAAGATTTTTGAATTGAGATGATTTTCACCCTTATATAAAACCTCAAAAGAGGGAGGGGCATTTCATTCACAACTTTTGTTCCCTTTTATTATATTTATGCATTTTGGGTTTTGGCATGTATACGAAGAAGCTGAAATGTTTAAAAAATTTATGGAATTTATCATGCACAAAGACGGATGGGAACGGATAGTAATAGTTTAACAAAAATATAAAAATTCCTGAGAATGAATGTAAAATATGACATGACTGTCAACTGAGTCATATGACAATGTGTCCTTTCCCTTTCGATTCTTAAACACTTAAAAATATATCGATCGGTGAAAGGCTTAAGTCGGAGTGGAATCCGATTTTAGCGAAGAGGGGCAAAACGAGTGCTGAAGGTATGGCCGCCCCCCCCCCCCCCCCCCCCCCCCCATGCATCGCTTTGATAAGCGAGCAGTTCGAGAAACATCTGAGAAACTATCATACCCATGCCAATGTTTTCGGAATATTACCTCAATATCACTGCATATAATTCTGGGTTTTATTTTCCTGAATTTTGTGTGAACTACAACTAGAGCACATTTAGGAAAAACTTGATCAATCTGACACCCTTTCTCCAAATTAATAGAAAAGGGCTTCTCCGTTTTTCCATTCAATATACACTTGAAATGCCTACATGCGTATTGTCCAAAGTTTTACGTCACAGAAGGCAAAATGTATGGGTTGTATAGCTTTGCTAAAATAAGACCCATGCCATGGTTTACCAAGATTTGAATTCTATGATTCAGCAAAATAATAAGAGATTAGTACATGATTTACCTTTCTGAACCATAGGTCTAACTTCATCGTAGCAGAATTCCAACAGCACCGACTTTTGCTGATTGGGTACACATAGATAACGATTTCTGACGTCATCAAGACTACAGTTTCTCCGTCTAGCAGAGGAATTCCAATCTGTGGTATTTAAGGGACATGACGTCACTGGGAAAACGGGGTATCTGTATCTGGAATTCATTTTATTTTGTTGCTGTAGTCGGAATACTGCTTGGATTTAAATTTATACCTGTAAACATTGAAATGATGTTTCAAAATGTGAATCTGTGGAAGATATGATACTTTTATTACATGTTTACTCCTTTATGCAATGGATATAGCTCATAGAATATCGTTTTTATATCCACAGTTGTGACGTAACAATGGTTTTTGTGTGAATTTCATTAAGTCAAATATTGAGGATTTACAAATAAAAACAGTGTAAAACATGAAATTACTTTGTGTTAAATCATGTGACAAAAAGAATCTCCATTGTTTGGGGTTAGATATGATTTTTTTTATCCAACTCGTTGTGTGTTTCTATCCCCTCGGCAAGGCTCGGGGATAAAAACACACTACTCGTTGGATAAAAAAAATCATATCCAACCACAAATTATGGGAGATCCTTTATATATATATATATATATATATATATATATATATATATATATATATATATATATATATATATATATATATATTAAATAGACAAAAATGTATGTAATGATAACAAATTCAATGAACTATATGAATTATCTGTTAAAAATTCATTTTAATTACACGCACAGTCCAGCGTGAGTAATCAAAATAACGTTTGTTTGTTTTTTGTTTGGTTGTTAGTTTGGTTGTTTTGTTTTATCTTAACACCGATTCTTGCATGATAAATAAATGCTATATGGTATGTGTAGGAATTTTCTCCTTTTCTGGCAGATAAATCTGAAGTATTTCCATTTTTGAAAATAATTTTGCTAATTCTATAAAAGAAACATTCAATAAGTAGTTTTTGTTTAACATGAACTTAATGCATCGTCTGATTCTCAACGTTGCAGCCAGTTTAACGGAAAACTTATCAGAGTTACCTTTCTTTGATTAATCAATATGTCGTTAAACGAAAACGAAAGTAAATTTTTCATATACACTGTATATACGATAACGCTTGATTAATTAGAACATTTTAAAATCATTATGCTATTTTAGAAATATATAACTGTCTTGTTGGTTTAAGCCCCCCCCCCCCCCAAATCAAGAGGAAGCTTTGTAATTAAACAGAAATAAACAACACACAGTAGTGATCTTATCAAATGATATATACATTATAATCACTAACAAATAACATATTTTAGTTTACTTACGATGAAGTATCGTATAAGGGTATACATTGATCATGTATAATAACTCCAGACAACTAGACAATCCATTCGAAACTAAATAAAATAAAAATGGTTCTATGAATTAATTAAACCTCTGTACGCAATAGAGCGTTTAGAATGTTTCATATTTATAATAGCGTACCTGGGTAGCTTCCAACTTTATTTCACAACAAAATACATTTCCTCAATTTTCATGTTTTCACTTGATCAAAAAGGGCCAAAAATGGCCAAATTCAATACATCCGTCTCCATGGCAACCGAGTGCACGTGTGGAACTTCCGACACCATATTTGCTAGTTTTGTTCCAAGACACACCTGCGGTGCAAATTTCATCAAAATCCGAGACATGTCGTTTCCAAGTCTTATAATAAATTTGTTGGTGCTTACAGAGAATGCATGTTAACATCTGAAGCAGCGTATCCATCGTTCGTGCTTTGCTGTATCATGCCCACTTGGCAATTCGAACGACGTTTGATTTTACTTGATATTTTATCCAGAAAATGTGTTAAACGCAGCATCAGAGGTACATCAATAGTCTGCACCTTGAGAAGCATTATCCATGCAAGTTTGTTCAAAATTGAAACTAGGTAGGTGGACATCTTTTAAATTTAAAAGATGAAACATGAAGATAACGAACAGTATTCAATACTGAAATCCATTGAAATGATACAAATTTGGAGCAGAGCAAACACGGACCTCAGCATTTAGAGGTGGGATCAGGTGCCATGGAGCAGTGAGCATCCCCTGCCGACCGGTCACACCCGCCATGTGCTCCTTGTCATGATCGGGAAAAACACGGGAAAATCCGTAGACAAATCAGTGTATAAATAATGCACTTTGCTGAATGTCTGTTGACAGGTAAAAGTTAACAAACGTAAGTAACGAGAACAAATTATGGAATCTTTTTCTCCCTTTACTGAAAGTCTTCAAAACTGTCAGTACGTTATTACAGCATGAAACACTCACAAAACAGTATTACATAACACCTGATGTTATAATAGACACAGTATGTTTGTTTGTTTGTTGTTTAAGTCCCTCTAGAGAATTTTTCACTCATATGGAAACGCCACAACTTGCCGCTGAAGGGCTGGAAATTTATACTTGTACCTGGCACTCAGGGCCATTGAGCAGAGGCATATTTTTTTTGTACCAACACCTACTGCGATACGGAACCACAGCTTATACGGTCCGCAGTGGATTTGAACCCGAAAAAGTTAGGCCTTTGTTAGGTTTATGAATAACATTTGATGAAAAGTTAAAGTAAGAATTTGGAATAATTAATTTTTTACGCAAAAAAATAAGTACCACGATATAATGAGATACCAGTATATATATATATATATATATATATATATATATATATATATATATATATATATATATATATATATATATATATATATATATATATATATATATATATATATATACGTGTAGCCTAATGCAAAGTGGGGAGATTCTACAATCCTCGCATGCAAAAAGATACCACGTGGCGATGCAAAAGTACTAACTATTACAATACATGAAGTGTCAATTTTTTGTATGTATTATTATTACATATATTTACATGTACTATATATTTAAAGAAAATGTTGCAATGTGACTTTATATACATAATATTTTAAATGGCTTGTCTAGCTAGTTCACATACAGCAAAAAGCACTTTTCACAGTTTAGAACCCACAACGACTTATTTTCATTATTTAGGCCTAAATGAGCAAAATTGATACAGTGTGTTTGTATCATATTCATCATATTCTCTCTTTCTGTAACATAATTCAAACAATCAAAAAGTGTGTGTTTTTCATCTTCAGTAACATTCATTGAGCATTAAGTACAAAGTCTTTGATCTCTAGGAATGCCCAAATAACGACCTCTTTCTATTTGTAAATTGTGAGAAGATGTACGCAACCTACATATTGCTTTCCTTTGTTCAAATGGTAGGCAAAGTAAATATTTTTTCAAGTCCAAAATTTGTTTTGATCTTAACATAAGTATCCAGTTTACCTTCTTGTGACAATCTTATTAAATTCCACTCATTCATGTAATATGCAAATAATTTTTTTTTTTTTTTTTTTTTTTTTTTTTTTTTGCATTTATTCTTGAAAGTTTGCAATTTGTTAGAAAAAGTATCCTTATTAAAATTTAATATTTCTGCAATTTTACTAAATGTTCCATACCAGGATGTTATACTGTTACTCCAGTAAATCTTACTTTGAGAGTATGCTGCTCTCAATAATGGAAATGACATGTCTGGACATTCTAATTTATGGACATAATTCAAAATACTTTTAATAATATCAAAATGAAGAGGCAGTCCTCCGAGCTCAGATAATGAGAAGTTTGCACTTTTTCTATGCAATCCTAATATATTCTTACAAAATTTTATGTGTAGATTCTCACACTTTAACCTATTATAAATGTCATACACCGAGAGTTTGCAGGTTTTAAGGAAAATACTAGGTCGATTGATGTTCCCCCATATTTCACATCCATAAAGCAAAATGGGTTTTATTGTATGATCAAATACATGAAGGGATGTTTTAACACTGGGTTTCAAAGACAAAAAAATCATTTTGTAGTTTATAAAATGCTTTCAAAGATTTTTTTCAAAGATGAGCATATGAGAAGGTTCCAGAGGCACTAAAGAGTACCCCCAAATATCTATAAGAAGACACAGATTCTAAAATCTGATCAAATAGCTTAAATTCTTTGTATATATATATATATATATATATATATATATATATATATATATATATATATATATATATATATATATATATATATATATATATATATATATATAAATAGACAAAAATGTATGTAATGATAACAAATTTATATGTTTTACACATAGGTACTCCTCGGCTTAATTGTTTAAAAAATAGGAAATAAATTCGTTATCCAGGGTGTACGGGTATTTACCCCAGGTTGTATTCCATACACCCTCGATTGAACCTGGATAACTAATAATATTATATCGGGGAGAAACGATTTTACAAACTACAAACAACTGAATATAATTTTATTTCGTTTGTATTCTAGCCTCTAATTGGTTAATATCCAAAAGGGAACACAAATTATATCTGTATAACCTGGTTTAGTATGGGGACACAAACCCTGACAACCAGCTGAATCATCTGTATCCATACAATCCTCTCATTTCCAGTCCTCGGGATTCATGGAAAATTCCAGATTTAATAAATGTACCTTTAACTTCAAACATGAACTTACCACATGTAAACAAACAACAAGTCTGCTGGCTTATGTATCAGTTTTTACCTCTCCTCGCTTCCCATCACTTCCGTTACTACGGTTGTATTATTGAGCGGCAAATTTGAACTAATAAAAAGCAACGAAATTTTACACCCATAGTTATTTAATGATTTTAAAATTAAATTATAAGGAATAACTCTAATTCTTGGCCAAATTATTCGAGTATAACCTGGTTTGGGTCAGTTTACGCTTTATAATCCGCCTGACCCAAACCAGGTTATACTCGAATAATTTGGCCAAGAATTAGATTTATTCCTAAAATAATGACACTGACCAGGTATGGATGATACCTGGTTAGTAAATTTCATACCTGGCTAGGCGAAGCTGAGCCAGATATGAAATTTACTAACCAGGTATCATCTTGTACCTGTTCACTACAAGTCCTTGTTACTAATAATACATGTACATGTAGCTACGATAACGTAGGTAGAAATAGTCTGTGGACTTCACCTGAATTAGTGAATATGGCTCAAGATTGATCATAATCTAGCAAGTGCTTACGTTAGATCCAATACATAAGTATTTAGAAATTGAATATTTAAGTACTAATATTTACTGTTAATAAACAAAACAAAAAAAAAAAAAAAAAAAAAAAAAAGAATTTACTTACCCTTTGAGTTTCTCTCTTGAGAAAAGCCCTCCTAGGCTTCTTTGGGGAGCTAGTAACGGGAGTTGTGAGATGGGCTCGCCGTTTCCCCAATTCCGATGAGGCTCAGTCTGCTACTTTTGTTTGAACTGTTGGAATGGCATCCTTATTGAGGTCTCTTCTGGCTACCTTAACCCCCATTGATTCCAAGATTTTGTACTTTGCGGGATACGCATCCTCAGTAAGATGTATAGAGCACAATGTCGACGTCTTCGAGGGGCCTATTCGGTTCTTTCTGTACTGCTGTACAAACTTCGTCCACTTCCGCAAAATCGCAGGACTGTCGAATGGAAAATAATGAAGACCGATTCCCTCCGTCTTGGTGTTGCTACAGCCTCCAGCAACACATCATCTACCTCTGGAAGAAGATTGAAAATCCAGTCAAAGCGCCCCCTAAGAAGCCCGTCCCGGTCAAAGCGTCCCGTGATTTTGGTGAAAGAGCCCCTTGATTTTGGTGAAAGAGCTCCCTGATTTTGGTCAAAGTGCCCCCTGATTTGGTCAAAGAGCCCCCTTATATAATTTAACAGTAAAATGATGTTACAAAACCGCCCCCAAATATTGGTCAAAGCGCCACTTGATTTTGGTCAAAGCACCCCCCTGATAATTTTTATAGAAAAATTTCATTTCGAAACCGTCCCCAAGCAATGTGCCCCCTTCTGATTTTGGTCAAAGCGCCCCTTAGATATTTTTATAGAATGTTCGTTTGCAATTTAAAAAAAACAAAATAATAAAAAAAAAAATTAAAAAAAAAAAAAACCTAAATTTTTATTTAATTTCATTTTATTTCCCTTTACTAATTTATGCTATTTATTTCATATCCCCAAAAATACATTTCATACTTTAAGTTTTAGTTGATTTTTGTTTGTTCAGCGTGTCCCAGGAAATGTTTCATAGATTAAGTTTGAATAATCTTAAAGAAAACATTAAAGAAAACATTTCCAAAGAAATGAGAATGTTCGCCGGTATCATTTAATTATCCCCCCCCCCCAAAAAAAATGATACCGATGCCGTTGCTCAGCTCTTGCCACGCGGAGGACTAAGTGTGAAATGGTCGTACACAAATGTAAAATTTGAAAATTAGAAGTTTATTACACTGAATAAAACCCTAAAAAGACTTACAGTGTATCAAGATAATATTATTTAATAAATTGATATCCTTTTTTCTCTTTTTTGATGCATATATTAAGAGAAAATGAAAATGGAGAGTAAACTTGATCTGATTACTTTTTACACTACCGAACAGAAATTTACTATTGTTAGCTATAGTACATATTCTAATACTATGATTTACTATGTATCTTCATATGCAAAGATGCATGGGGAACTGAAACTTTTCAGACTCGCATACAGATGTTGCACATAGTTGCATTTAAGTAATGTTCCTTCCAGGATTTTACATTTAAATTTCTCCTGTTTTCAATTTATCTAATTTTAAAAAATTACGCTACTTGTATAAATATTGGTCAAAGCGCCCCACGATATATTTTTAAAGGGGGGAAGACGATAAGAAACCGTTTCTAATTATTTATCAATTTGTCAAAATATCACTATCGGTTTCGTTAAAGAATATTCTCCATGGGGGGCTTTGACCAAGAATTAGGGAGCGCTTTGACCAAAAGCAGGGGCGCTTTGACCATTACTTGGGGACGGTATTTTAACATCAATTTCCTGTAAAATTCTATAACGGGTGCTTTGACCAAAACCAGGGGGCACTTTGACCAAAATAATGAGACGCTTTGACCGGGACAGTTTTCTTAGGAGGCGCTTTGACTGGCTCCCCTCTGGAATCTACTAGGCGATCAGCGATCTGCGACATCCTCAGTCACGGGAAATAGTTATACACAAAAAATCACAAGAAATATGTCCTGAAAACAAATTATAAGCAAAACAATAAACTAATACTACAGTCAATAGACAACGAAAGTTACGAAAGTCACTACAAACTAAAATAAAGCTCTCAAAATGTCCCCGAAAATTCACAATTTCCTTTATTTTCAAAATGGCCGGTCCATGTAGTGACGTCACACTGAAACAGGGGCTAAAACCGTGCTATTCAGAAAATCGCTCATCAGGTAGTTGGATTTTCCCCAAATAACTCCGTTAATCGTGCGCCGATTTCGATGCGTTCTTTATTTATTTATTTATTTATTTATTTATTTTTTGGTTTATTTTTTTTTTTAATTTCGCTTTAATCGTTAAAATATAAAAGAATTGCAATCCGTTTCCATTACCCTTAAAAATATATCTAAAATTCATGATTTTAGTGTATGGGAAATATTGGAGGTTTGTGGCATGGTGCATGTACATTTCCATGCATACCAAGTAGTAACGAATGATCCATCTAGTACCTTACCCTCAAAATTTCAGACCCCGGGACAGGGGACTTCGATGTCTCCGAACCCGATGTTTATTCGTATAGTATTATATACAATGTAGTAGGCCTAAAAACTGGAGGGCTATATATCGGAAACTAGAGATGGTACCATCACCATTTTTTTCAGAGAAGTGGTATCTGACCACTAATACCCTACCCTCAAAATTTCAGACCCCATGACTTATGTTAGAATTTTGAATTGCGAACTGCATTCTGAAATGCAGTTCACTTTTGAATTGCGAACTGCGTTCCAAAATCTGATTGCCGTGATGGTAGATGCATGTCGCCGACGACAATATGTACCGTCACAGGGGTGTCCCGTTTACAAGCACCTGTGATCCCAGCATATATACATCATGGCCTTATGGTTATTAAGACAATAAATTCGATAGTCTTTCAACAGCGCGCATTTCATTATATTCTATCTTGTACGGGCGAAAGGTATTCTGGAGATTTAGTTCAGAGGCAGTCCGCCATGCACGTTGGGGGTCATTTTCAGTCCTGAACCAATCTCTCGGTTGTAAACTCGTGACAGAGTTGGTTTGGACCACGACCGAAACTTTTACTTTGAAAAAAAAAAGATAGTGTTCAAAACAGGCGAATCGACGTTTCCCGAAATATTTTAAGCTTAAAACAAAAGTCTAAACAGATCTTAGATAAAAAAGGTTATAAAATTTAATTTTTCAATAAATAGAATGTATTGTTTTAAAAGAAAAAAAAGGGGGAAATATAAGACAGAGAAACACAGAGTTTTATCTAATATTACTCGTGATAAGGACTGTGACGCATTCAACTATGACGTCAAGGCTATTCTCCGTGCAATTTCTATTACGTCACAACAATGCAAAACAATGGAAAATAATTGTCTACAATCTATTCAAAAACTTCGATGCTTTAAAGTCTTTTATGACATTGGATTTCTCCCCTATAAAATAAGTAAGTATATTTCCGTCGAAGTTTGGTTTGTTTGATATACATGTACATGTGTGTATATACAGATATACCACAATATTTAGGTTAATTCGAGAATTCATTACACATGTACGAACACATCTAAAGGACATCATGTTTATATTTATTTTGATGATATGGAAAAAAAATAACTTTAAATAATATATTATTAATTAAATTAATGGATAAAATAAGAATGTACATGTGTTTTTGATAAAGGTAATGCGCAGCGCCGTTGAAAAGCCAAATAAAATTATTCATTTATTTGAATGTATTAGATATTCCTTCGAAAGATTTGAAAACAGTGGATTGATTTTCAGATTTTTGGTTGAGCAAGCTAGTTCATCGTTCCTATTTGTGAATTACATGTAGATGTTTGTTCGGATGAATTAGGTAATAATTCTAAGAATATTTTAAGATGTTAATTTGCTCGGACAGTTTAGTTCTTCGTTCGGGGCAAATTAAATACCCGGTAAAAGTAGAAGAAATTACATGTAATATTAATGGGAGGTCAACATAACCGCTACATTGCGAAAAATTTAAACTCATTACCGCTTCATTTTCTCAAATTTTTGGGCGATCATTACCGCTGCATTTTATCGAAAGGACTAATGCCGAAAACAACTCATTATACCGCTACATACCGAATCGACCATGCAATGGCACGGAATATGAGTTCCATTCAATATAATTCACTCAAAATGTAGTGAAGTACAATTTGGATCTGAATTCGGAACGACTTTACCGGTCCCCAGAAAAACGCGCTAAAATATAGTGTCGCCGTAGGCGACTTCAATATATATATGGGATCGCGTGAGCGATCGAAAAAAATGAAAAATATGGAGTTTTAAGCCTTTTGGACCCCAAATTCGAATTCTACAGTTAAAAGTTTAGTTTTAAACTTTGTTTTTAAACGAAGTTTTTAACCTCGTTCTCTGAAAAAATGTAATAAATATTGTTTATTCAGTGAATAGGAGACAAAACATAAATGTGAACTAAGCGCGTGCGGCGCATGCTTAGTGCCGTTTGTTTTGTACTTAGCCATTTTTTTTATGTAAACAAACCAACGAGATGTTGTTGAAGCTGAATTTAGATCTTGCAAAAAATACAGACGCAACTGAATTTCTTAATTAATTTAAAAGAACAAGACACTAACCCTAATCTTTCGGATGGTATGCGAGGACTAACCCATATCTCCCAGGCGGATGCTAGACCATGCTAGACTAACCCATGTGCAAGGACTAACCCTAATCTCTCGGATGGATGCGAGACTAACCCTAATCAGTCGAAAACTAATGCAAGGACTAACCCTAATCTTTCAGGTGGGTGCAAGACTAACCCTAACCAGTCGAAAAATGTGCAAAACCAACCCTAATCAGTTGGGTGACGTAAATCTTACGTCATAGTGCAATGAGCGCGCGGATCTTGTGGATCTGGGGACCAGTAAAGTAAAGTCTACCCCTGAATACGTTTTATTTCCATTAGTGAAATCTTCAAAATTAGAGGCGCGTTTGGTCGTCTGACAAGGACAGCATTGGGTTGCGGATAATACAAAACATGCCAATCTCAATCCAATTTTTAATGTCAAATGTATTTGTCATTCCAATTAAAGAACAGAAGAACTAAAAGACATAAGTAAGAGAGCGAGAACCTTAAATTTATCATCCATTAATAAAAAATACGACATTTCCGAGGCATGTGTATTGTATTTAGATGTACCATACGATAAATAGATACATACGATCAACAATAGAAATAAATTGATATCGTTGTCATTCCTACTCTTGATGTATATAAAGTCCACAACAATAAAATATTTCATTTGCATTTTCTTAGGATTTGTTCATCGACATTCAACATATTGTTTACCTGTTTACGTTACGTTTGTCCCTGAAATCCCGCGAGATTTGTACATTTTCCGACTTTTTCACAAAAGAGCGCACTAAGAAGTATAACTCTTCCATAGTGGAAATAGAACGTATTCTAATCAAAACGAGTATAAGTGTAAGGCCTGCATGTGTGTTTTATCTATGGACAGTGCCTGATTTTAAACCTTTTAAAATGTTTTATGTCTATTGAACCGGTCGAGACCACTAGATTTTCTGACTTCAGCATAAATTTGCATGTTTAATTAACTATCTGTTTACTTCACCGACTGTTGAATGAGTCGCAATGCATTGTGGGCTACTACATGTATCAATACGAACTCAGGTGTATTGAAAATAGAGAGGATATTTAATTTTCCCCTAGAAACTCATTTTAATATTAATGAAAGAAATATTGAAAATGATGTATTATCTTTCATTTCTATGCTCACATTTACAATTTTTTCTTTATGGAGCATTAATATCAACTTTTAATACAAAGGCGTAATCTATATTGTTCAAAGAGACGTAGAACCTAGTGCCATTGTGTCGATAAAGCAGTGTGTGTGTTTTTCACGTAATATACGCGTGTACATAGTTTTTAGACAGCCGTATAATGTGCGCAATTATTATTTGAACTCCTCAATATCATAAAAATGTTTTATGTAAATTCAAAAGTCAAAGCGGTTGTACGGTATTTGAAGCAACTATTAATCATCTAAAACAACTCCAATATTAAATGTGAGCATGAAACAGTGTCTTTGGAATATAATCTTTCAAGTTCAGACTTATAAAGTAGAAAAAGAAACTGTACAGTTTTTCTGGTGACCAAGTAAATATTATGCAGTAGATCGACAAAAACCACATGTCGCTGTTGAATTGTAAACACGTACATGTAGTAGCCCGTCATGCTTTGCGGTTCATTCAATTGATTGGGGAATGGGTTCGACGAAAACATAGTCACATGTTGAAAAGTGCCTTCCATAAAAGGTAGTGTACCCGACCTGTTGAAATAAAGTAGTTTTTAAATTAAAAAAAATGGAAAAAAAAAAACCCATCCTGCTCAAAGTTCTACTTTCACCCCCCCCCCCCCCCCCCGTGGTGAGGAGGGGAAACAGGTCTTATGCATGTATATGTTGTACTGTACACGCATAAGACGCTGGCTAACGAAAGAGGCAATGTAGCGGTAATGTATACTTTTAATGTAGCTGTAATGTATCCTTTTTTTGTAGCGGTAATGTGCATGTAGAGGTAATGAAAATTTTGAAAATGTAGCGGTAATGATACGCACCCATATTAAAGTAGCAAAGCTCTCTTTTGATCTCAGTCTCACTTTTACAAAAAGAATTTATGTAGAAAAGTACTACTGAAGTCAAAGATGAGGTCAGCAAAGTTTTATTGCCCTGGGCCATGCTTTTTGATTACATCGATTGCATTCCCTTGACAAAATGAAATTATTATTTGCAGTGTAGTATAAAAAATTGACCAAATATTTACTTCAGCTTATATACAGTTCTGTTAATTTATTGCAAATTGACCGACGAATTAAATCAATACATTAATAATTAATGCCCAAAATGGATAAATTATTTTTTGTAATATGACGGCGTATATTGAAATCATTAACAGGCGAAGACCAGAATAAATTGCTCCAACAAAGGCCGGAAGTTACATCAGTAGTCAGGCATCAGAAAAGGCATCCAATCGGATTCAATGTAAACCTGTTTAACCTACAAAATGCTCAGAACAAACCAATAAACGAAAGTCTGTTACCAAGCTCACGTGTATCAAAGACACCGGAAGAAAAATGCGCGATTGAGCTATCAGAAGACCATAGGAAAGAAGAGGACCGAAAGTTTGAATGGAGGGTTTATCTGGCCTCATTGCAATTCACAGAAGATATTCATCCGCCCCAGACATTATCACATAATCCTAATTTAATCAGGCGCCCAAGGATTCACATCTCTCCGCCATTAAAAGAAACAGACCTTCTATTCAACAACTTTACAAAGCAGCTGATCCTTAGACAAATGATTTTTCCTACCATTAAAGATCAGTATATTTTTTACATGAAGAATTTTCCTCTTTTGCTTGAAAGAAAAACTGATGAAGATATAAAAACTAAATCGCGAAAAAGAACACCATCTCCCAAACCCGTGACAGGGCCAGAATTAAAGCGCGGAATTCAGCTGAAATGTCGTCTGCTAGATCTTCAGCGAGATGTCAATGAATTAGAGAGAGAGGAGCCAGATATCGTTTTTGAAACGGAACTCCGGGACAACGTGTTCGATCCTACAACCTGGGACTGGAATAAAATTGTATGGCCCTTCTACATCCCTAAGCCATCCCGAGAGACTAGGAGGCGGAGATTGATTTCCCCCATATAGAACAAAACATTTGTTTTATTTAATAATTTGAAACTCAAGGAAAATCTTAACTAATAGTCATCATTTAATTCTACTGCCCACATTATCATAAAACACCGAATTAGTAGTGCTATGAAAGTACTATGAATTCTTTAATTTAAAGAATTCAAAACAAAGTTCCTGTATTTTACCAGTACAAATATCATCGATCCTATGAATAAATAAACTGTTTTTTTTTTTAAAGATGTGAGCTAAATGCAAATGTGCCCCCATTAATGTGAGAACTGCAATTAAAACATTAGTATGACATCATCTTTTGTTCTTTTAAAACTTTCTATTTCTTGAAAGGCCCAAGACAGGTCCAATAAGTTACCTGTGACCGTCCAAAAAGTGAAAAAAATCTATCTATTATTAAAAATAATGGACAGTATTTAGTAACTTATTGGATGGCTACAGGTAAGTTTTTGGACTAAGAAAACACAATAAAAACACGCATATTTAAAGCAATGAATCCAGCATGTTTCACAGTGTAATGAAATATATGTTCCAAGTCACAGAAACAAAACCTGAAACTTTGTAATTGTTCCAATAAATAATGAAATGAAATGATGAATTCCAAATCAAAATGAATTTCGAAACTTAAATTTGAAGGAAATATCTCCGAATTTCATTGGAATATAACTTGCACGAACACACTCAGGGATATCACATCGATCTCTTTTTTAATGCCTTCCTGGCAAGAATCAGTCGCTCCTCCTTCTTTCTCACTTAGACTCTGAATAATTTTGCTTACTTTCTGCAGGAGCACATCGATTGTTTCTTCTATTACAAGAAAGCAAGGGTGTTTGTTCAATAGTCTTTGCTCGATTCGTTTCTGACTTCAGGAATAAAAAAGGTAATAATTTTGTTGATTTCTTAATCACCTGACATCATGATGTCCTTAAGCATGGAAACATTAATTTTGGGTACTGTGTAACATCCTTTCTGTCAGTTAAAGAATACAGTCACTGCCAATTTACATTTCTCCGATTTCTGCGATAAGCCTCTTCCAAATCATCTACATATTGTTGATTTAATTATAGGGAAATCGTTCCATTTGTTATTCTGCATCCTTGAATAGTCTTGACCAAATGTTAAGAAATATTTGAAAAAAAGTGCACTTTGAGTTCAAAGTTCATTATCTTGTCAATCTTAAGCTCAAAATTCCAAAATATCACTTGGGAATGACATCTGTATTATTACTAGATTTCTCATCAAATCTGCAACTGCTTTGCTTTCTCTTTCAGAAGAAGACATGCTTTCAACATTCACAATCACAAGAAAATGGTGTTCGAATCTCAAGCCTTGTGATTAAATATTCTTTATTCAGTTATTTAAAAATAGCCCTTACCTGTAACTGTTCACTAAGTTAACAATAAAAAAAAATGTAAATTTCTTTTGATTGTAAACAACCTTTACCTGAGACAGTCCAATAAGTAGACAATGCTTACTTAATACAATAGATGAGAAACAATTCTAAGAGGGTACATTATGAATACAGTAGAGTAAATATTTTAGGTAGGTTATAGGCCTCAAACTGTCCATTCTGTGAGAAGAAAGAACTATTGTCGGGCCTAACGGCCCTCCAACAGTTCTTTCTTCTCACAAAATGGACAGTTTTTGGACTATAACCTTTATATATATCCTTCAAACTTATAATAAGAATTTTCTTTGTTTTTTATTCAATACAGGTACGAAATAAATAATTTATTACCTTGATTTTAAGATGTACTGTAGAGAAACACATTTTAACGAGACAACGACCAAAAGATATTTAGTCTATAGTCGGTATGACCGACTAGTCAAGTACTCAAATACTCGACATCCCTAATATTGATAGAAGAAATCAAGGAGGTTGACAGGTCTAATGTTAAATTTTATATAATGTAAAATATATCATTTGCCCCTCTAGTGTTGTATTTGCTATTGAGATGCAAGTGGTCAGGAAAAGGTGTACATGTTAATTTCATGGTAGTATCGAAAAGGCTGAAATGAGACGAAATTTAAAAACTGACGGTAAGATGGTAAGGAAAAATACTACTGTTAAGAAAATACATGCATATACAACTCCAGCTCTTTGCTATTGACTCGAATGTAAACTCTTTTTTAAAATAAAGATTTTCTTTTTTTAAAAATCCAAATAGTCAATGAAAGTTGTTATATGGAGTGCTGATTTCAAATTCAAATGATGTCATTTTCTAAAAACAAAGTTGAATTTAGAAACAGCAGACCCTTTTATTTTACAGTTCTGTTGATATGCAACATTAGGAACATCATCCAACAATTCTTCCAGAAAAATATAGTTACGTCTAACACGCAGCACATAACGGACCATTAGTGGTATCAACGTTTTTAGCTCACCTGAGCTGAAAGCTCAAGTGAGCTTTTCTGATCACATTTTGTCTGTAGTCCGTCTGTCTAGCTGTCTGTCTGTCTGTAAACTTTTCACATTTTCGACTTCCTCTCCAGAACCTCTGGGCCAATTTCAACCAAACTTGCCACAAAGCATCGTTGGATAAAGGGGATTCAAGTTTGTTCAAATGAAAGGCCACGCCCCTCATTCAAGGGGAGATGATTCAGAAATAGTGAAAATTTGGTGGCATATTTTAAAAATCTTCTTCTCAAGAACCACTGGCCCAAAAAAGTTGAAACTTATAGGAAACCTTTGTTATATAGTGTAAATTCAAGTTTGTTGACCCCTGGGAGTAGGGTGGGGCCACAATGGGGGATCAAAGTTTTCGATAGGAATATATAGGAAAAACTTTAAAAATCTTCTGAGGAAGAGAAGCAAAGCCATGATTTGTCATATAAATATGTAAGCATCATCAGGTATTGTAGATTCAAGTTTGTTCAAATCATGACCCCTGGGGGTAGGGTGGTGTCACAATGGAGGATCAAAGTTTTACATAGAAATATATGGAAAATTATTTTTATAAATCTTCTTCTCAAGAACAACAAAACCTTATTTAGTCAAATTGATATGTAAGCATCCTCAGGTAATGTAGATTCAAATTTGTTCAAATCATGACCCCTGGGGATAGGGTGGGGCCACAAGGGGTATCAAAGTTTTACATAGGAATATATAGGAAACACTTTAAAAATCCTCTTCTGAAGAACAGCAAAGCCATGTTTAGTCATATTGATATGGAAGCATTCTTAGGTATTGTAGATTCAAGTTTGTTCAAATCATGACCCCCGGGGATAGGGTGGGATGACAATGGGGGATCAAAGTTTTACATAGGAATATAAAGGAAAAACTCTTTGTCTCAAGAACAGCAAAACTATGTTATTCATATTGATATGGAAGCATCCAAGTATTGTAGATTAAAATTTGTTCAGATGATTACCCCTGGAGGAAGTGAAGGGCCACAGTTGGGTATCAACTTTTTACAAAGGAATATAGGAAAAAATCTTTAAAAATCTTCTTCTCAAGAACAGCGAAGCCATTTGTTATATTGATATGGAAGCATCCTCAGGTAGTTTAAAACTCAAGTCCCCCCATATAAACTTTTCAATACTGAATTGATTTGTACTTTTTCATAGCCATCGTGCTCAGGTGAGCGATGTGGCCCATGGGCCTCTTGTTTTGCATTCACTATGCAGTATATATGAAGTTTTGGATTGCATCTGAAGCATGCAGCGTATCCATCATTCGTGCTTTGATCAACGTAGTTTTGCCTACGTGAAACAAACCCACCCAGCTATTTGACCGACGTTTGTTTTTACTTGATATTTTATCCAGAAAATGTTTTAAACGCAGCATCAGAAGTACCGTCAATAGCCTGCACCTTGAGTGGGAAATTTATTCAAAATTGAAACTAGGTACACAGTGGCCATCTTTTAAATTTGAAAGATATAAAAATCAAACCATGTTTTATGCCTGTCTGTTAGCCTTTCTTGATATAAACGTTTCGAAAAGGAAAGATAGATATAAAAGTTACATTTAGTTTTTTTTTTCTTCCATCAAATCAAAGAATGGTTCTTTTCTTAAGATGTTTTCCCAAGAAATACTTGTTTTGATATAAAAGCTTGTATTGAATCTATCACTCTATACGTAATGTTGAAAATTACTCTTTCTCTCTCTCTTGTGAAATTGATGGTATATACTGTGTATTTACATTGCACACGACAGACACAGGTGCAGCTCATGTTGCACGAGATTCTGCTTTATTAGAATTACTATTTTTTTCTAATGGTTGTGCATGTTGAAAATTAAATCCGAGCCTGCCTTAGGAGATGTGTCAAAGAAAAGTCTTGGTGTTCTTGTATTATTTCTATATCCAGCAGAAAGGTGTATCTAAACACAGCGACAAAGTACATAAATTTGAACATTTGGAAATTTTACACCTTATCAATGTTCTGTAACATATCGAAAGTACATTATAATGTCAAGTAGTCGTGGCAGAATTCCAGTATTTTTCTTAAGCTAGTAAATATAAGATGAACTACATACCTATTGAATTTACTATAGAGTTTAAACATCTTACACAAATATATTAAAACTCACTTTTTATACCTTCATGTCTGAATTTTATTGAAACTTTGAAAATACTAAGAAACAAGGAAGATAATTCAATGACAAAACCAAATGTGTACGATAAATCAGTTGACAGTAATAAAACACATTTATTATAACATAACAAGAAAAGTCCAAAGAATTGTGGTCCCCCACTTTCTGTGCCTATAGCTATGTGGTTGGGATGCAAATATTTATGGCAAATTGTAGCTGTCTTAATTTTGTGTCATTCAAATGTCTAGATCAAGTTAAAAATGATTCACCTTTCCGTAAGGTATTGTCATAGACAATGTATATGTAAAATATGAAAACCCTATCTTCTCTCATTCAAAAGCTATTACCACTGTAAAAAAAGAAAGAAAAAGAAAGAAAAAAAAGATTTAAGGTTAAGCTTAAAGGTCAAGGTCAAGAGGTAAAAAACCAGAGTACATTCGGAAAGTACTTGAAACAGGTAATGCACATTTCAAATATAAATACCTTATATTTTCTCATTCAAAAGTTATCAACATTGTTAATTTTTTTTAAAATTAGGTCAAAATTTCAAGGTCATGGGATTAAAAATCATAGTACATTTGAAAATGCCTTGTCACAGGTAATGCACATGTCAAATATGAATACCTCATCTTTTCTCCTGCAACATATAGCAGCAATTCTTTTTTTAAATTTGGTCACACTTCAAGGTCAAGGTTAAAGAGTCAAATATCAGCATATTTGAAAACATCTTGTCACAGGTAATGTACTTCTTAAATATGAATGCTGTATCTTCTTTCATTTAGAAGCCATAACCAATATTCATATTTTTGAAAAGTGGGTCAAACTTCAGGGTCAAGGTCAAGGGATAAAAAATCAAAGTATGTTTAGAAAGGTCTTTTCAGTAATGTACATTAGAAATATAAAAGCCTTATCTTTTCTCATTCAAAAGTTATGACGAAGGTAAAAGTAATGTTAAAATTTTTAAAAAGGTGATCGAACTTTAATGTTTTTGTGACAGGCAGACTGACAGACGGACAGACAGCTAGACGCACAGACTGACAGACGAATGAGATTTATTATACCCTCGCTTTTGCGAAAGAGGGGAACAAGAATTCTATTGTAAATCTTTAAATATTCAATAAAAATCTTTAATGTGCATGAAGATGAAGGACATTGCACAGTATATGTTAGCAATATTAATAATTACAGCAGTATTGTAACAAACAAATACGCTAATTATGGAAACACTTTAATTATGTTATGCATTCAGATTACAATACTGCTTATTAGCAATAAATTAAGGGTGATATCACAATCCATTATATAACACTCAAACAATTGAAAAATAAATTACATATATACTTACTACACTGATTATAAAGGATTTTGACTTAATTACGGAAAGATTAAAACAACGAAAAAGTGACACAACATTGGTCAACATCAACAAAATATTTGAAAAAGAGTAAGGAATATGACAAATAGATGCTAGAATATATAAAAATATTTCTCTAATAAAACATCCTTTATTCTTTTGAATTTTTATGATAAATTTGTTGTTATAATCGTTACCAAGTTGATACACTAACAGATATATGCATACAAACAATTCACATAATTAATCCCCAGATTCCTCGTTAAGGTTGAAAAAGGTACAATATCAATATATGTCAATATACTTTATTTTTTTTTGGGGGGGGGGGTAAGAGGAAAATCTTGGATCTTGAAAAGGAGCACATGGCGTTTGTGACCTGTCGACAGGGGATACATGCTCACCCATGCCAACTGATCCAAAATTTGATATTTTCAGAGGTTTGTTATGGCTCCGCTTATAATATGTATTTTTTAATTGGACTTTCGAGAATGATTACCGTTCGTTATCTTGGTAACCAAGACAGAAATATATCAACTGAAATGTTCCTATTAAGGATAAATAAAAAATACAGTGTATATACTTCTTAGTACGCTTAAGTACACTCATGTCATTATTTTTAATGATTTCATAACCCACTGCGTTTAAATAAAAACTTAGTGGCCCAAATTAAAACATGTCACCTGCGCTATTTCAGATTTGATAAATGCTGTATTGTAGTAGCCCGAGGAATTTGTACCGAAACTGGACTAAAACTTTAACCGAAGTAAACTTCAAGATCAGAAATCTAAATTGTCCTTTAGCTCTAAAGTTGTTCAAACAAAAAATTAAAAAATTAAGCATAAAATTGCACGGTTGCTGGAATACAGGTAGTATGGATTAAAGAATAATTACATCCAAAATATAAAACAAAGATTATTCAGAAGATCTTTTAAAAATAAAGCACTTTTTAAATATCAAGGCATATAATTAGGATTCATAGAGGCGGATTTATATCTGATATTATGTACGCAAATATCGAAGTCAAGGCCACTATGTCATTAATAATTGTATGGTCAAAAATGAAGGTCATATGGTCGATAAGATAGTCTTTAAAAAAAGGTCCTGCCACAAACGACATACAAAAAGCAAAATGATTAATTGAAAAAGTTAGAGCAAGTGTTACTTTCAAGGCCATTAGGTAAGTAACTATAGCAGTTTTACAAAATTATAAAAATTAAATGTTCTTAAATGAATAAATGCAAAAATAAAAACAACACCTTTTTGCAATTTAAGAGATATAGAATGTTAAAATCAGAAAGATTTATTGCTATGATATATAAATTTCTTTGTTTTGCAGGAAAACAAAAATCCGATACAACCGTAAAATGTCTAACATCTTCTGTATATGAATGAAAATGTGATGAATATACAAACAAAACAGTAAAGTTATATTATGCTTGATTTTTACGAATACATATAATAAAAATAAAAATGGCGAGTAACAATTCATGAGGCTTTGGTAACTAGCTCCTTGAGATGACGATTTGATGAACCTTTCTTTGCTGGAAAGAACAGTTGAAAAAGTGTCTTCAAAGCAAATAGATTACTACTTGTCCATCCGATAATAAAGTCACTTCCAGCTGTCGAAGACTTAATTCCTATAAGTATTTACTTATTTGAAAGTTCACTATATCGGATACAGAGGTATGTAGGACATTCGTTCTTCTTGTAAAAAAAAAATCACAAAAAGGTCCGAAATCCTTTGTAAACATTCAAAACTTTATAGATTAGGTTTCATCACAACTTCCATTTAAAAAAGTCATTATAATGTCATTTACCAAAACGATATTCATTCAAGATATCATACAACTTGGGCAGATCTTGCCCTGTGAAGTCATCATCAGATTCAAACATGAGATCTTCCACGGGATCAACTGCTGTCTTTTTCAATTTTTCACCAGGTCTTGAAACAGTCTTCGTCTTTTTAGACATCGGACTAGCCTTGTTTTCTTTGTATGAACTACCTTCAGTTATTTTTTCTGGTTTTCCTGTTAGTTTTGAATGTGGTCGCATCTTGTATTTCTTTTTAAGTCTTTCAAATGGATTTGGAATGACTGGATTGCTTTTTTCCTTGTTTGAATACTGTTCATTACTTTTTCTAACATGTGAACTACTCTTTCTTGGTTTTTGTGGCTTTCTTGCGGAATTAGAATAAGATTGTAGAGTTGTCTTCGCTTTCAAAGATTCATTTGGTTCCAAGATCAGTTGATCCTCATCTTTGATTAGTTTCCCTAAGGTCATTTTTTCTGGATTTTGCATAAAACGTGAAAACAGTGCATGTTGTAGCAATTGAATTGGAATTCTCGGAATGTTATTCTCTTGAAAATCAACTTTCCCTTTATACTTATTGATTTCTTTAACCTTCGAGGTATTAAGTGGTTTGCTATGCTTTAATCCCAAATGATGTATACTTGGCAAACTAAGGACGGTTTCAAAATTCTGAATGATTGGTTTGGTCACTATATCATTATGTTTTGTTGTGGTCTCTAGATCGTCTATATTAGGTTTTTCAGTTGTATTTGTTTGCGTGTCACTTTTTAAGTCGTCAGACATTGTTGTATAACCTTCAGTTGAACTAACTATTGGGATTGCTGTTGTGTAAGTGATTACGGAATCCTTCATCGTTGGTAGTTCTGCTAAAGTTGTCGTCTCGTTGTCGTCGTCTATTTCTTCTGAAGTATCTAACGCTTCAGGTCTTATTATGTCTGTCTCATTCACTATTTCAAAAATAACATTGTCAGGATCTGATATATCAGCAATTAGGGTTTTATTTTGCTTATAATCATCGTCAGCATTATTCGGGTTGAAGTAAAATCTTGGAATGCTTGAAGGCCAACATTCACCATCATATACCTTTATTACTCCCCTGACAAAATTAGAAAACAAAATTAATTCACCATTAAAAGTTCATAGTTCTTGTTTTTCTGAATTAAATAATGACCTAACTCTTTCATATTTGATACTTCGTTTGACTGAGTAAATCAAACATGCTTGAGCAATACTTACGAGTGACAGTTCAGTGTACAGTTGTTAATGTATGTTCTTGTAAACATATCAGCATCAGTACCACAAACCGGTTCCCAATCCACTGGGCAATCACAACCAATGTCTAAATACATAAATATAAATATATAAATGAATTCAAATTTGCAGAAAAAACTAAGGAAGTGAATATGCAATGCTATATCCTTTATTTAAGATACTATATTCTTTATAAATCACGAAAAATCCCAAATTTTGGATACAACTTGTAATTTAAAAATCAGTATACAAATATAATTCTGCTTAAAGATGTAAACAAAATGAACTCATTCTAAACTTGTATTAGTTTTTTTTATTTTATTTCTTTACCTTTACAGACATAAAACTGGGGACACGTGGACCTGTTTTTGTCTGGACAATCTTCATTGGGGACACTAAAACACTGTTCTGTTGAGTTACAAGGATTGTTCTGAAAAGGAGAAAAAAATCAAGCAAGCCTCAAAATACCACTCTATTGGTATATGACTTTATCTAGTTTTCCAATAAAAAATTAATATAATGTATTGAGAAAAGCGTCTCGTGTCATTTTTGAATAGTTTTCGTAGAATTAAAATTCAAAGAAAAACAACTTGAATCACTAGAGAAGTGGACCTACTGCACAAGGATCCGGTGCACAATCGCATCTCGGACAGGTGCCTTGTAGGAAACCAAATGGACAATGGACAGAATTAGAACAGGGTTTATCACACTCCACTAGAGCTGAAATACAGAAAACCAAGAAGTAATAAATACAAAGTCCACAAAAATGTGACAAATATTTTATATTGAAGATTTTATAAAGCTTTGTTTGCGTTACCTTCACAAACATTTAATTGTGGACACTTGGTTATGTTTTTATCGGTACATTCTTCTGAGGGTACACGGACACATTTTTCAGTTAAGGAGCAAGGGTTGTCCTGAAATCAGAATGACACTATGCGTCAAAAAACGTAATTAAAAAGTAAACCAATTGAAATGTCTAATTAAGCGATTTTATACTTAAATACTAAAAAAATTATAAACAAATTATATTAAATGTAACAAATTTATGCTTTTTTGACAGAAATATACATTTACTAGAAAATTCTGGCCAGGAAAGCCAAGATTCCAGCTTTGTTTGTTAATAGCAAAAAAATGATAGCAAAAAAATAATGTACATATACATGTACATCTAAATATCGTAGTAAAGACTTCACTAGATTGGAGGACTTACTGTACAAGGATCCGGGGCACACTCACACCTTGGACAGACCCCCTGTAGAAAACCAAAAGGGCAATGGACATAATTAGAACAGGGCTTATCACACTCCACTGAAGCTGAAATATATAAAAAAAAAATCTAGAGCTTAAATGTGAGTTGACTCGTATTACTTTCAGAGATACAGAGATATATCTTTTTATTACCCATAACTGAGTAAGTGCAAATGTTTTCTTACAAGATTTTTTTATCTATGCAATAAAAGATTAAATTAGATATAAAGAAATGTGTTTTTTCCCCACCAGAAAACCTCTCTTAATTAACAATAATTACAAAGTAATTCAAACAATACAAAAAATAATAAAATGTGTCTATATAATACCCTTGAATTAAAATACATGCAAAAATATATTACTTGTAGTATTATAAAAGTGTCAGTGTTTTGTCCAAAATTATAAATGTAGATTTTTTTGCAAGCAACGCATTAAATACCAGTTGAACACAAGCGAACTACACGTCTATTAATAAGGATGTACTTTTCATGGAGTTTGTCATTATTTCAACATTTCAATATTTCAATCAGAATTCAACCTCTGTTCCTTACATAACTAACATGCATAAATTAATTAAACAGTAAGTATTTTCTATGCATGTTTTAGTTATTTTATCAATCAATTAATTAAATTATTTTCTTATTTATATTTTGGAAAGAGGAGATTATATCTTTAATATACTTAATTGCATTTTCCGGAAAACTCAAGAATATTCCGATTTCAAGAGAATAATCATAGATTATAAAAGTATGAAGAGTCTACTTTAAAGAAATGTCGAAACTGAAAAGAGGGTGATTAGTGATTAAGTAGTCAAATAAAGTCAGCTTACCTCTTCCCCATTATTTATCGTTTTATCAACTATTCATTAAAATACATCAGGTTATTATGAATTTTTTTAATCAAAGATATCTATCAATTGCATTAAAATACCAATTGTATGCAAAGCAACGATGAAATCAAAAAGGATAAATAGTCCCCATTTCTACATAAACAATGTTGGTGTTAAAAGGCATTATTTTCACAGACAAGAGGGGTAGCAAGAGGTTTGGAAAGAACAACATATGATTTTTTTTAATTTAAGGGATGGCTACCCTCAAGTGTTACGGGTGTATGGGGGATAAAAAAAAATGGTTGTTGTTTTTACAGCAAACTATTATACACTGGACTATAATAAAGTAAGTGGGATATGTTAATCATGTTAACTGACGAAGAATTCCATAAATTATACTTTACTTAAGGTTTCCATATCTCAAAAAATAAAACGTACACACACAAAATTGGCTTTCTGTCATGTATGCACTTCTTTATTTTAATCGTAGGAAAGTGTAACAAAGTATGTTAATCATTTTATTTTGCTCCATTATATAATTATGCGTCCAAAAATTCTGAATGGTTGACATTACGAAATAAAAAACGAGATTCAACTTTTTTTCGAGGGAGAATCTTGAATGGTTAACTGATCAAATATTTTTTAAAGACATTGAAGAATATCTTCAAGAACATAGCTTATTTACAGAGACAAGTACTAGTGTGACAAAATTTAAGACAATAAACAAATTGATGGATTTAAATGTTTACTACACTCATGGACACTACCATCAAGCCAATCTTTCCATCAGTGACTCTAGCAGTCTCTTTAATATTTGTATCATACATAATCTCATTAATTTCTGTATCATACAGGCATTAAGTTTAATAACTGTATCATATAGGCATAACGTTTAATATCTGTATCATACAGACATTAAGTTTAATATCTATATCATAAGTTTAATATCTATATCATATAGACATTAGGATTAATATCTGTATCATATAGACATTAAGTCTAAGATCTGTATCATATAGACATTAAGTTTAATATCTGTATCATATAGCATTAGGTTTAATGTCTGTATCGAATAGACATTAGGTTTGATATCTGTATCATATAAACATTAAGTTTAAAATCTGTATCATATAGACATTAGGTTTAATATCTGTATCATATAGACATTAGGTTAAATACATGTATCTGTATCATATAGACATTAAGTTTAATATCTGTATCATACAGACATTAGGTTTAATATCTATATCATATAGACATTAGGTTTAATATCTGTATCATATAGACATTAAGTTTAATATATGTATCATATAGACATTAAGTTTAATATATGTATCATATAGACATTAATTACACACGTATTCTACTACCGTCTCTTTTCACTTACATGTTGCAACACTGCTCAATTTATGCAAAGACGTATTAAGTATGAATGTACATTTGAGTAAGTATACACTTTTCAAGAGCTGTTATTTTTATTTGCTTTGTCTTTATATGTATCAATTTTAGTAATATATATGCTTAAACTATATTTATTACCGCATCTAACTCTATATACAATACAAGTATTCACAAAATACTAATTTAAAACACGAAAATGGAGAAAATATTAAAAACATATTTATCTTTTAGATAGTATAAATTTTATCAAATCAGCTAAAAACCGCAAACATCGCTTAAAGCAATTAAATTGGAAAAATAACATGATTGACCTGAAATGATAATGAAAAACAGTTACAGGTTTGGGAGTTTACAGTTTATTGACGCTTTGATGATTGATATCATGTAATAGTTGAAAATAGGACGTGTGAAAATGCCATAAACTGTAACCAGGTTTGACATTTATTTCATTGAACTAATATTTGAAATGAGCATTGATTCCATCATTACATGAAGATTTAATGTAATAAGAACAACATTCAATTATACTTTTAAAAGTTATAAAGTGCTTCACGAGATTTTAGTGAAATATATTGCTTAATTTTTTTTCCTGTCTGTTTTACTAGGGCTTTTTAAAAGAATACCCATATATATGATTGTTATAACTTAAGTGTCCAAAATTTTTTTCTAGCTAACTAGATGTGCAATCAACATGCAAAACAATTTGCAGCATTTATTTTTCCTGAATTAGTAATAAACTATAGCATTATATCTTGTAGAAACATCGACGAAAAACATCTTACCGTTGTTCAAATAAGTAATATCATCAATTTCATCGGTATCGGCTGCTTTAAGATCATCACTGGTATCAATTTTTCTTGAAATGTTTATAAAGTTACCACGAAAACTTTGAATTACTTCGGGAATTAAAGGCTGTATCTCAAAGTCTTCTAATAACGCACGAAATCCTATAGGATCCTTAAAACGTTCTATTAAAGCTCTACTTCCATGGTCAGCAGTTGGTTGAATTTGATTTTTGAAAAAAGTCCGTGCTTGCTTTTCTGTGTTATCCATAGATTCTATTTCTAAACTGTGCTCTTTAGAAATCTGTCGAGGATTTCCAGAATGGTGTTGACTGTGCACAATTCCAGCTTTCTGAAGATGTTCCTGCCCTTTTCGAATAGTAGACGATTTCAGATCCTGATGAAAATTGCTTTGTCCTCGATGAATAATTGGAGATTCAACACTACGATGAAGATGAGAAGTGGCACGTTCTGAGTGAGTGCTGGGCGAGTGGGAACTTTGATGAGAGTTAATATTTTGATGTGGATTGCGATGTTCTGGATGAATATTCGACGTTTCAGGTTTAAGTCTAGAACGATCACTACCTGCTCTCATTCTGTTCAAAATGTTAATGATTTCTGTAACAGGGACAGGAGTAACCGGCGGTGGCTGTGGATTTGAAAACAGATGAAATGGAAGTGGTTGTTCAAAGAAATGGCTCTGGATAGAATGTGGAATCGAAAGACTGCCTCTTCCTCTGTCTAGAATGTTTTCAATATCACTGAAAGGTATACCAAGAGGAAATGATGGAGCCATAGGCACAGGATTGACGTGTCGTACTCCTGGCACACTGTGACCGGGGGGAGAAGCTGGTCCATGAAGGGAGGAAAATAGTGTGAACAAATTCAGAAAGTGGTTCATCGTCAACACTACAACAGTTAAGTAAATGATAACTGCTAATTATGGTTGCTTCAATAAGCTGGAGATCAGTAAGGTTGATTGATTAGACTATATAAGTATTGAATATTTATGAATAACCTCATTGAGTAGAATTTATTAAGATACAAGTGTGATGGTAAATACTAAATCATAAAAGAGGCATATGTGAAACCTGCTTGAAATCAAATTATAAAAGAGGCATATGTGAAACCTGTATGTTTTTTGTCCAATTCATTCAATATTTCAGCATTGATTCGTCAGAATATAATTAATTTTTTTAAAATTAATAATAACGCATACTAAATCGTTCGTAAATTGACATAACATATTTTTCTTTAAGAAAAAACATTATTTAATTCTGATTGATGAAAGAGAAGAAATGGACAAGAAAGTCAAAACAAGTTTCAGCCTCTTTTTGTAGTATTGACCTGCTCCTACAAGTTTCAGCCTCCTTTTTTTAGTATTGACCTGCTCCTACAAGTTTCAGCCTCTTTTTTTGTAGCATTGACCTGTTCCTACCGCATAATGAAGGTAATTTTGTTCAAAGTGCCTTATGAATCATTTGATGGAAGGTTTACGCTGACATTTGTAATGTCTATGATTAATCAGCCTCTTTAATCTGTCTAATATGAAATTTAATTAGAACATTTCCCCTGTAGAGCAAAGAAATACCATATAAACAAAAACTGAATCTATGATGTTCTACAAACATTACCCCTCTGATTTTTTTAATCCCATTTACAAATTATTGTAGTACAAAACGATATATGTTATGTATTTATTTTTGGAATTCATTATAAAAAATATGATAGAATACTAATAACTGATAATAGACGTTTTATATTACTTTTCGTCCCTGAATGTTGATAGTACGTTATATATGAGGGCAATATTTTTGGCACAAGTTCAGATATTGATATATTATCAGAGTTTAAAATATAGTGATCGTAGTTTGTTCCAAAATTAAAAATACCTGTTGTCCTGGATTAGGTGGCTAGCAAACCACGATCCTGCTCTGCTATCATGTTACACAATCCTATGGCGCCTTGACGAAGTCGATTGTTTAATTCCCAACACTGTCACCGTTGCGTAAAACGTTATATTCCTCTGTATAATGAGTTAAAAACTTATTTGCTGAAAAGAGTCATAACACTTCGTTGCTAATCCATAATACAGGATATGTCCTCTATTTCTTCTATATGGAATACGGCCATTTGTCTTGGTGCTGCATTAACAGTCTGAGTAAGAAAAATTGCTTCATTAAAAGCATTTCCTGGCCAGTTTCTGAAACAATGTCATGCCCTCTGCTTTCTAACTAAGTTATGTTTACCGCGACACGCTAATTTATGTTTTTTACATAATAAATGAATGCATGCGTTTCTCATAAAGACACTTCGTACCTAACTCTTAATTACTTTGTAACAAAGTTTTCTTGTAATCTCCAGTAGACGTCATATATCCTGAGCATTTTCATTCGGTATATAATATCCACGTCGTTATGAATTACGCTTCGCAATCATGACATTTTGATCAAGTTTAAAACATTTGTACTTAAACTTTATAATAATTTTTATGTATATGACAACTGTTGCCAAGGTATTTCTTATTTTAAAATAAACTTCAAAATTCGCATACCACAGCTCAGCTAGTTAATTTTCATTCAATTTTTTCAAACACAGCAGCATTTAACAGGGTAGAAGAAATAGAAGGACACAGACGAAATTGTATATATGGATTGGTATATATATTTTTGAACTTTTTTTTTGTTGTAAATGATGCATATATCAAATTTCCAAAATATCAAGAGATTGTAGAGTTTCTATGTTGTTCAATTTTTTTCCGGTTTGCCATCACCCTTGTAGATCTGTTGTTTTTTTTAATCACTTTATAGCACATTATTGACAAAAAAAACTTCAAATAAAAAATTAAACTCTATGGGGCTTAACATATTCATTTTACATATATAATAATAGATTTAGTTGTTACCACAGCTCAGCTAGTTAATTTTCATTCAATTTTTTCAAACACAGCAGCATTTAACAGGGTAGAAGAAATAGAAGGACACAGACGAAATTGTATATATGGATTGGTATATATATTTTTGAACTTTTTTTTTGTTGTAAATGATGCATATATCAAATTTCCAAAATATCAAGAGATTGTAGAGTTTCTATGTTGTTCAATTTTTTTCCGGTTTGCCATCACCCTTGTAGATCTGTTGTTTTTTTTAATCACTTTATAGCACATTATTGACAAAAAAAACTTCAAATAAAAAATTAAACTCTATGGGGCTTAACATATTCATTTTACATATATAATAATAGATTTAGTTGTTATTCTTATGATTTAAGATTTTTGAAAAAAAAAAAGTTTGTTTACATCATGTGTTTTTAATATAAATGGATAAATTTTACTTTTTTGTAACCTCTAATAATGTTATCACTGCATTTCTGAAGTTCATTTCCTCAACAAAGAATTTTCAGTTATACTTCGCTACGCGTAACGACTTCCGAATTAGACAGTAACAACAAAAAAAGTCATATAGGAGACAATGATTAGAATTTCGAATTTTAATTTGAATGATAATAAATATCTGAGAATTTTACCTAACTGGAAGTTTAAATTAAATTTCCACTAAAGGAAAAATTCCCAAATACAAATGAAGACAAAAGTAAATGAAAAACACTATGCTAATAAACTTCACTTAAATGCTACATGAATTGTTAGATGAACCTTCAATTAAGAAGGACTTGACTAAGTATACTCTAAGGCCAGTTTGCACTAAACCAAATTATAAAATGGCACCACCTACCAATAAGAACAAATACTCCTCAAGAGCTTTTGATGGAGGAGTATGAGTTCGAACATGAAAATAAGATACCGTAAGATTAAAAGGGAGTTCAAGGATTAATTTAAAATCTAGAGAAAATTATAAATGACCAAAATTAAAAATGACCAAACCTTCAAGGAGAGCCAAGGGCTAAGTAAGAATATATTAATTAAGCTCTTCTTTGTCATTGAATAACCATTGTGTTTTCGTACTGTTTTCGCATTTAATAGACCTGTTTGTATTCTAAAACTTGTAAGGTGTATTCTATGCATTTGTAGAAAATATGAATTCTACTGCCAGTCATAGAGAATTGAATTCTTCCAATATTTTTTTGGGAGTTGGAGAGGGGCTGATTAAATTTGCATAAAGACAAAGATTTTCATTTCAGCAAACTTTACATTATCAAAGGTAATAAAGAGACAACTCTGTGAACAAGTAAAAGAACTGTATTCATTAAAAAATGTCTTTACTTTGAAATGTGTTTTAGAAGGAGCGGAGATTAATTTATTCGGTCACATATGCAAAAAATAGTCACATCTACTTTATTACATAGAATAAACATCAAAGAATTAAAACAATTATGTAATTGTACAATGTTTTTAATAGAATTGTTTTGTGAAGTATATTTTTTGGGAATTGAAATGTTTTTAGATTAAATAAAAACAAGTCTATTTACTTACTTATTTCAACAGCAAATTATGATAATTGTATGGTTGAAATATTATGTATGAATACAATACTTCGGTTGTTCCTATCTCTGACCGAATTGCTCTTTATCTGGCGAATGAGTAATACTACTGTTAACAAAATATTGCGACATTAACTGCTTAAAAGCTATAATACCTGCTGCTTTAACGTGCATCATAACATGTAAATAATTATACGATACTTCAAGTTGACATGAAAAAGTAGACAGAACATTACAAAACAGTTTAAGAAATAGAAATAGAATGTCTCCGTTTTGACCTAAATTAAAGTTTGCTTTACCTTTTCCACTAATGGGATTTGTTATATATATGGATGTTAATTGTGGCACTGTAACCTTTATTAGAGCTAAAGACTCCAGAATTTGCTTTTTCTTTAAAAAAAAATGATGAATTAGCATACAGCTGTTATCATTCTGTCGTGTGAAACAACACTTTTCTTTAAATTTATAATTAAGATTAAAACAAGTTTTTCTACGAATATGAACACCTTTGCCTCCTTAGACGACGAAAATCTTCTCAAAATGCCTAATTTTATGTTAGAATTAAGTCAATGTAAGCTACATTTGCAGAGGAATATTAATGAATGATGGTAGGAATAATAGTTCAAAAGACCCACTTCTTTGATTTTTCTTAAACTTTAACATTATATAAGTGCATCAGTGTTCATGAATATTAAGACCTGGAATTGACATATAACGCACAAAAAATGAAGGAATATAAATCTTTGGATTATGGCGGGTTTCATTTATGATATCACAGTTATGTGAACGAAGAAAATATTTCAACAAATAAAGCTACGAACCAAATCAATTCTATAATACTTATACTTTATTCCAGCCATAAAAAATCTGAAAATAATTTGACATGCAAGATTTTATATTATTCTAATAAACCTGATTCTACAACATAAAGTACAATAGCAACCAATACACAGAGAGTTTTCTGGACATTTATTTAATGCAAATTATGGTAGAAACTTTAAACATATCAGAATTAAGGATACCGAGACATTATTAGCAGAAAGCTAATGTATTTGTGGAAAGATAGATAAAATAATTTGCTTGATGCTGAAACATGGAAAGAAGTGTATGACGTGAAGGACGAAAAGGACGAAGTATATCAAACTTCACAGGAAATGTCATTCCCCGGAAGTTGCGTCATGTAAATATATGATCCATTAATATCACTACAAAACATTGGTAGTGAAGACAAATATGATATCAACAATGATTAAATGCTTACTTTAGATTTTTTTTAAATGAATTAATAATCATGCAATTGAACAAGAAAATCTCAGCTATAGTAAAATTATGTAAATAATATTCGATAAATCGATTACTTTTTAGCCTTAATCATCTTAGATCAGAGGAGATTATGCTTAAGTAAAATTTATGTCATTTGAATGTTGTTAACTAAAAGTAGCACCAAAGCGTATGGCGTCATTTTCTCACATTAGAATTTTTTAAATGAAAAATGCAAAAATAGAAATAACGAACAGTGATTCATATAAAATTTCTTTAGAACAGTACAAATAAGTGAACATGGTATAAAACACGGACCACTGGAAACTCCAGAAGTTGGAACAGGTGCCTAGAATGAGTAAGCATCTCCAGCTCACCCGCCGTGAACCTTATGTATTGGTAAGTTAGAGGGCGTAATCAGTCGTCAAATTTAGTATAAAACAACGGTCTAACAATTGATATGAAATGTGTCAGTCAAAATACGATCTAATGATAGATTGTATTTGCAAATAAAGTCATAATAACAATCAAAGCATTTATGAAATGCTTAATTTCAACAAGGTTGTTGAAATACCTGTGAAATAAATTTATTGGTCAGTAGCCTACCTTGGTTTAACTCTTTACAACTTACTGAACTATGACACAACATACACTTAATGTTCACGTCATAGAAATATGACGTTACCTTTTCACCAAAAGCACTTTATAGCGAAGTACAAGTTTCTCTTCAAATTAAGCGTAAATAATTATGACGTAATATTTTGATAAGATTATAACTTTTCTTATTTTATGAGATTTTAGCAAGTATAAAAAAAGAAGGGAATTGGTAATAAATTGACGATTCAATTTACTCTTGAAAGTGTGTGAAAAATGCGTGATTGCGGGGAAACGGTGTATGCGTGATTTTGCGTTAGACATAGGAAATGGTTTATGCGTTAAAATCCGTGACTGCGCGGAAGGGGGTTAAAAATTGATCGTACTCAGAACATGCTTTTGCGTATCGAATAAGTAGGGAGACATAAATACATATGCGAAAAGAAAAGTTGACGATAGAAAAACTGATATCATCTCATTTGTCATTGTTTAGTCGTTAATTGGTCCTTATCGTCTATGCTCGGTAAATTATCAAATTATTAGATAGATGTAGCAGACTCCGTGGTATCTTCCCTTACTTATGCAGCAATATACCTTTATCACTTGCATACGGGGTATATATCTCTCAGTTGATTCGATACGCAAGAGCATGCTCTACGTATGTACAATTTCTAAAACGAGGTAAATTATTGACAAATAAGTTGATGAAACAAGAATATCAGCTGTTTCGTTTAAAGTCATCATTTCGTAAGTTCTATTGTCGATACACTGACCTTGTCAGCAAATACAATTTATCATTGAGTCAAATGCTGACTGACGTTTTTCACACTGTTAGGCCATTATTTACACACTGAATTGTCGACGGATTTTTCCGTTATTTCCCGATCATGACAAGGAGCACACGGCGGGTGTGACCGGTCGGCAGGGG